ATGGAGAGGTAGTAGGTAACCTTTACTGAAAGCTGACGGCAAGTTGTGTAATTTAAAACGGTTTTCAAGGAGAAAATGAATACTGGCGACAAAAACCAACTGAATTGTAACTTCTTGATGTCAGACGGCCGTATTTAATAAAAGATAATTCAATTCCGGTTAGAGAGGTTTTCAATTTAGCATCGAAAGCTAAGTAATCAGGCATTTTTTGGTTTGTACTAAGGTTTGACATTGGCTGACTAGTTTAATTAGTAAGTAATTGGCTTGGTTTTGGTTTTACGACACTAAATTGAAAACCGCACTGTAGTTGACATAATGTAGATCTTTGTCCTATGATAGTGTGAAAATTACAAAACTGCATAAATGCCGGGAAGAAAAGGTCGAGGTAGAATATATGTCAATTTGAAACCTAGATCCAGCTGAAAGTTGGCTTTGCACGATACTCAAAGATGTAGGAGTATGGCAACGACTAAATCTCTAGAACGCAAATTAGAATAATATAATTAATTTTCTGGTCGTGTAGGATCCACCAACTGTTCTCAGTCAAATGGAGGATGCAGTCACCTTTGTCTTCCAAATCCACAAGGTTATCAGTGCTCTTGTCCAGAAGGAGTACAATTGAATCCTGCAGACCCCTTAATTTGTCAAGGAGGTAAGGTCTTGTGCTGCAAAGAAGAATCCCGCCATGTTAATGAGCTAGGTCGTAGTATGTTCTGACAATTTAAGTCTAATTTGTAATTTGGGGGATTTGTTTGTTATTCCCCATAATTATATTATTAACTAGAACAGAAATGAGAAAAAAATAAATAAATAAAAATAAAAAAAGGTTTCATTTAATCATATGTACCAAACTAACCCGTCATTTAATTCTACGCATTTTCATCCATTGATCAGTCCTGGTGATTCTTCTCCGCTTTTTGCCTTTCGCCTTTATGGTACTTCCTTTGTGGCCCTTTCCCTGCTACAATTTAAATCATTTTTGAACAACTCATTTCTTATTAAAATATGCTTGTATCTAAAGGTCTTAGATCTGTATCGCGATTACCTATTTAACCGTAACCATCAGATGAATTGTTACGCAATGTAACTAAAAAACAAACACTGTCTGTTCTTGTGTGTCAGTACACTAAGGTACGTGAGATTGTATTCCAAATCTTGCGGTCTATCGTTGTTTTAGTAATGATCCCGAGTTATTCAGTGTCACAAAATTACACTTCTATTCAAAATCTAAGAGATATACGTAAGTTACCTTCAAAAGGGTAACATTCGTTACTTGATTCTTGACATAGTGAACCGCTGCCCGAAGCTGTCAGCGCCTTCCCAAGGATATTTAGAGACTTGCTCCGATTTGCCAGGAGAAACCTGTCGGTTTTCTTGCGACGTGGGGTACGTCCTGACTGGATCAGTAACAAGGACATGTAACAGCAATGGAACATGGACTGGAACACAGCCTCAGTGTTATGGTGAGGCTTAACTCTTGATGGTGATTGATAAGCGTCAGAAAATGAGAGCATTTTCCAAACACTTGAATATTGTGCAAGGGACCAAATACGTGCGATTAAGAAATGAGATAAGGGGAAACTGCTCTGTTATTCGGTTCATTTTGTCTGCCATTTTTTTACCAAGGCCTAGTTTTGTAAAAAGTAGAGTTTATAGGTGCAATCACGACGACATAAAGGTAATCACAGACAGACAAACAGACAGACGAAAGGACGGACGGACGGACAGACGGAGGACAGACAGAGTTGCTATAACTTGCTAGATTTGTTATTTGCTGAGTAGATAACCGGATTGTCAAATTAAATTATCATTTTGTTTACAGCTGTCACGTGTCCAGCTTTTGCATTCCTAACTAATGGCATCAAAAGTACCTGTACAGGCATAACAATAGAGTATTTCGACAAAGTTTGTCAGTTTTCTTGTTATTCCGGATACACCGGAATGGGCTCGTCATCAAGACGGTGTCTAGAAAACGGCACCTGGAGTGGCCAAGATTTCAATTGCACAGGTGAAAATAAAGTGTACTCGTTTCCCGACTAGCTTCAAACCCATTGTTTATAAGCATTACAATCCTCGTTCTTTTGTCGTTGTTGTTTGTTTTCATTACCTCATGTAGTTGCCTTCAGAGGGGCCCTTTAACTTGAGGGTCACCGTCAAATTAAAGAGAAAAAATTAAAATATTAGTAACATTTTATATCTTGCAAAAAATTTACGCCGTGTACCAACCTTATAAACTGACTTAATAACCTTATACTTAGGTAACATTATTATATACATGTTCTAACTAAAAATTTGTTTATTACGATTTAAGCTATCACCTGTCCGCCCTTGAGCATCCCTGCAAGAGCAGTTCTGCTGACTGTTTCCTGTGGTAATACCTATGGATCAAATTGTGTATTTGGCTGTCAAAGTGAATATGGCAGTGCTGACGGAAATGTCACCAGAACGTGTTTGCACACCGGGCAATGGAGTGGAAATTCCATCAACTGTACAGGTAAAGGTGTAAAATTAGAACGAAATCATTTATGAGAGTCTTGAAACAAGGTTTCATTCACGGACGTAAACATTAGAGTAGTCATGTAACGCATAGTACAGTACCACTTAATAACCCCCATTTTAATGGCCACGCATTAGGGCTTTATCCAGATCGAGACGTACCAGTTTAAAAAGTTACAACCTCCTTGCAAAGCATGATAAAACACCACATGAAGTTACCGCTTAGTACTTTTATATGAATTAAAAGGCTTTACTTTAACGTTAGAATGTTAGCTTTCATTTGAATGGTCACACGCTGTGGTCACATCCACTGACTTAAAAGCTAGAACCACCTTGTACTGTATAATAAACAGTACCACATGAAAATACTGTTCGGGAGCTTACATTGGAATGGTAAAATACCTAAAAGTTAGATTCACCTTGTACAGCACAAACAACATGAAATGGAAATACCGCTGAACAACTTTTACATGGATGGTCGTACCCTAGAGTTTCATACGCTGACTTTTTTTTCTGTCTTATAAAAGAGAGTTCTATAATGTAACACTTGTTCTTCTTGCAGACGTTCTTCCTCCAACATTCGGTGTTACGTGTCCAACGAGCCCGTTGCTGGTGTATGCAGAGCGTGATATGTTTTCAGCCCAAGTAAACTGGACTGAGCCTGTTGCTACGGACAACTTAGGAGCCACGCCTTCACTTACGTCAAATTACAAACCACCACAAAGATTCAGTCAGGGAACGCACGTGATCTCCTACACTGCTGTGGACCATTCAGGAAACAGAGCTACCTGTACCTTTGCTATAAAAGTATTAGGTATGAAAAGGTTATTTCTTGATGGTTGTCACAACAAGCTAGGTGTTTGTTATACGAGATATGCTAACCACCTCTTTTTTAATGTCACCAGTTATTAGCTGTACGTCACTGACAGTTAATTCAGGAAGTGCATTGAGGATGAGCAACTGCGGTAATCATTTTGGAGCTCAGTGTAACTTTACGTGTGCCATTGGTCATCGTTTGAATGGCTCGTTAACGGTCGCGTGTGTTGCCCCTGGTAACAGACCTCCAGGAGCTTGGGATAATCCTTTACCTAGCTGTCAAGGTATAACGGAATAGACACAAAAATATAGCACCAGTTAGATTGGTACACGGAATTGATCAAAAGATAAGCACCTCTCGGCTAGATAACCCATTGAACTTGTCGCAGACTCCATCGCCAGACAGAGATACAACCAAACTCTGCAGGAAGCTGGATTTTGCCTGAGCTGTATGGCCCACAGAATGAAAAAAATTCTCGTCTACTAGACCTCTGTCTGTTGTTTGATTAAGGCGTAAGGTCTGTGCAAGTATATGATTGCCCTTACTAAGTCATGCGCTTTTTGTTTTTCATTTCTCTCCAGAAATTAGATGTCTGTCGCTTCCTATTCCGACAAATGGAGTTAAAACCGGCTGTACAAACATTACATCGGAACCTTATGATACACATTGTAGTTTTTCATGTAATGTTGGCTACAATATGGTTGGTTCGTCAGTAAGGCGTTGCCTGGAAAATGGGACTTGGAGTGGAGAAACATCTTATTGCCAAGGTAATAGATACAAGACATCTATACCAGACGTGTAACAAAATTAGGTGTAAGGAAAGCGGTAATCTTATCTAATCGATCCGAAATATATAGCAAAGCTCCAAATAACCAATGGTAAATGACTGACAAAAAAGCAGGGGAAACTCCAGTGAAAGTGGGTTTGACATCGAAAATGGGGCAACTTCTAAACTATCGAGTTCGACTAAGCGGGGTTCAGCGGTATAAAGTTAGTTATACCATGCCATAGAAAATACAGTCAATCAGAATTCCTGACGGTATTACACCCAACTTTCCCATTGAACGCTGCTCGTATATCAGATTGATTGCGTCGGCCACTTATTTTCTAAGGTATGGAATAAAATATGAGTGCCTGCGTATACTAATAAAATACAAGAGACATTTGGGACATTTCATATTATACCACGAGATGTTGCATCGCTGGTATATATTTATCTAAACTTTTGATCTATTTAGTTATCACCTGTGACCCGCTCGTCCCTCCAACTGATGATGTTGTACATGTATCTCCATCCTCGTGTCTATCGAGCAGTCCGTATGGCCAGACATGCACATTCACTTGTCAAAGGCCTGGATATGTCCTTGAAGGAACATCTGCACGAGTATGTGGTAATAAAGGGCAGTGGACTGGGTCGAACAATACAAACTGTACAGGTAAGGTAGTGCGGCTTAACTTAATATAGGAATGGTTTCTTACACTTCCTTTTGAAAATTGACTATCCAAGCTCTATTTCTTAATGATTGCAACAGACAAGAAACAATTTTACAGCCATGTACTACCAAGTAACCGTTAAGTGGCTTCGCCAACGTTAACGGTCACGGATGTTCTTCAAGATCCATCTGCAGCACTGCTCCTTGAATTTAGTCTCTTGAAGTTGAACTATTTTCGTCGTTTACAGATAACACTCCACCTTCCTTCAATAACACATGTCCTAGCAATATGGTGTTCTATGCTACGGAATGTTCATCCAGGGCTTTACTTACATGGATTGAACCAATTGCGAATGACAACTCTGGTCACGTGTCTATCAGCTACCCGGGCGTTCGTCCCCCTGTCAACCTCAGTATCGGTCTGTACAATGTACTGTATTCCGCAATAGACAACAGTGGAAACCGAGCTAACTGTACTTTTATCGTACAAGTAGCAAGTAAGTCACTAAATGTAATTGTCAAAATTAGTACAAGAATTATCATAAATGTTAACAATAACTATCATTATGACTAATAATTTTCATAATAATCATAATTTATGTCGCAAATTATTATAATTAATGATTTTTACTTTGTTTTTTTGGGCTAGAGCAAAGTTAAAAGTTTGAACACAGTTAGTAATCTCGTTAAAAAAAGTTTTTCGTTCCGGTTAATTTTGGTGCGTGCTTCATTTTTTCACCAATCTGAGCCGCGTTTCCCAGAGGAACTAGAGCACAGCACTCAAAGACTACGGGACTAACGATATAGACAAAACCATGCAATTTAAGCGTTTATTCTTAAACTAAAATGTTTTTATTACTTAAGCAGTTAATTAAAGGAAAATATGTTTGATCCACAGGAAAATCATGCCCAGTCCTCCAGCCACCAGTCTATGGATCCATAACCTCTCTTTCATGCGGATCTTCATTTGGTTCCCAAGCCTCCCTTGCTTGTAACACAGGATACCGAATGGCTGGATCTCCTTTGCGCTCATGTGGAGCAGACGGAACATGGTCAGGCAACGTGACCACATGCAACAGTACGTAACCTACGCACAACAATTGGTTTAACAAGTCGTATTTTTGAATGTCAATCGTAAAATTCGTGAATCATTTTTTTTTTTTTTTTTTTTTTTNGTAACCATCAGATGAATTGTTACGCAATGTACCTAAAAAACAAACACTGTCTGTTCTTGTGTGTCAGTACACTAAGGTACGTGAGATTGTATTCCAAATCTTGCGGTCTATCGTTGTTTTAGTACTGATCCCGAGTTATTCAGTGTCACAAAATTACACTTCTATTCAAAATCTAAGAGATATACGTAAGTTACCTTCAAAAGGGTAACATTCGTTACTTGATTCTTGACATAGTGAACCGCTGCCCGAAGCTGTCAGCGCCTTCCCAAGGATATTTAGAGACTTGCTCCGATTTGCCAGGAGAAACCTGTCGGTTTTCTTGCGACGTGGGGTACGTCCTGACTGGATCAGTAACAAGGACATGTAACAGCAATGGAACATGGACTGGAACACAGCCTCAGTGTTATGGTGAGGCTTAACTCTTGATGGTGATTGATAAGCGTCAGAAAATGAGAGCATTTTCCAAACACTTGAATATTGTGCAAGGGACCAAATACGTGCGATTAAGAAATGAGATAAGGGGAAACTGCTCTGTTATTCGGTTCATTTTGTCTGCCATTTTTTTACCAAGGCCTAGTTTTGTAAAAAGTAGAGTTTATAGGTGCAATCACGACGACATAAAGGTAATCACAGACAGACAAACAGACAGACGAAAGGACGGACGGACGGACAGACGGAGGACAGACAGAGTTGCTATAACTTGCTAGATTTGTTATTTGCTGAGTAGATAACCGGATTGTCAAATTAAATTATCATTTTGTTTACAGCTGTCACGTGTCCAGCTTTTGCATTCCTAACTAATGGCATCAAAAGTACCTGTACAGGCATAACAATAGAGTATTTCGACAAAGTTTGTCAGTTTTCTTGTTATTCCGGATACACCGGAATGGGCTCGTCATCAAGACGGTGTCTAGAAAACGGCACCTGGAGTGGCCAAGATTTCAATTGCACAGGTGAAAATAAAGTGTACTCGTTTCCCGACTAGCTTCAAACCCATTGTTTATAAGCATTACAATCCTCGTTCTTTTGTCGTTGTTGTTTGTTTTCATTACCTCATGTAGTTGCCTTCAGAGGGGCCCTTTAACTTGAGGGTCACCGTCAAATTAAAGAGAAAAAATTAAAATATTAGTAACATTTTATATCTTGCAAAAAATTTACGCCGTGTACCAACCTTATAAACTGACTTAATAACCTTATACTTAGGTAACATTATTATATACATGTTCTAACTAAAAATTTGTTTATTACGATTTAAGCTATCACCTGTCCGCCCTTGAGCATCCCTGCAAGAGCAGTTCTGCTGACTGTTTCCTGTGGTAATACCTATGGATCAAATTGTGTATTTGGCTGTCAAAGTGAATATGGCAGTGCTGACGGAAATGTCACCAGAACGTGTTTGCACACCGGGCAATGGAGTGGAAATTCCATCAACTGTACAGGTAAAGGTGTAAAATTAGAACGAAATCATTTATGAGAGTCTTGAAACAAGGTTTCATTCACGGACGTAAACATTAGAGTAGTCATGTAACGCATAGTACAGTACCACTTAATAACCCCCATTTTAATGGCCACGCATTAGGGCTTTATCCAGATCGAGACGTACCAGTTTAAAAAGTTACAACCTCCTTGCAAAGCATGATAAAACACCACATGAAGTTACCGCTTAGTACTTTTATATGAATTAAAAGGCTTTACTTTAACGTTAGAATGTTAGCTTTCATTTGAATGGTCACACGCTGTGGTCACATCCACTGACTTAAAAGCTAGAACCACCTTGTACTGTATAATAAACAGTACCACATGAAAATACTGTTCGGGAGCTTACATTGGAATGGTAAAATACCTAAAAGTTAGATTCACCTTGTACAGCACAAACAACATGAAATGGAAATACCGCTGAACAACTTTTACATGGATGGTCGTACCCTAGAGTTTCATACGCTGACTTTTTTTTCTGTCTTATAAAAGAGAGTTCTATAATGTAACACTTGTTCTTCTTGCAGACGTTCTTCCTCCAACATTCGGTGTTACGTGTCCAACGAGCCCGTTGCTGGTGTATGCAGAGCGTGATATGTTTTCAGCCCAAGTAAACTGGACTGAGCCTGTTGCTACGGACAACTTAGGAGCCACGCCTTCACTTACGTCAAATTACAAACCACCACAAAGATTCAGTCAGGGAACGCACGTGATCTCCTACACTGCTGTGGACCATTCAGGAAACAGAGCTACCTGTACCTTTGCTATAAAAGTATTAGGTATGAAAAGGTTATTTCTTGATGGTTGTCACAACAAGCTAGGTGTTTGTTATACGAGATATGCTAACCACCTCTTTTTTAATGTCACCAGTTATTAGCTGTACGTCACTGACAGTTAATTCAGGAAGTGCATTGAGGATGAGCAACTGCGGTAATCATTTTGGAGCTCAGTGTAACTTTACGTGTGCCATTGGTCATCGTTTGAATGGCTCGTTAACGGTCGCGTGTGTTGCCCCTGGTAACAGACCTCCAGGAGCTTGGGATAATCCTTTACCTAGCTGTCAAGGTATAACGGAATAGACACAAAAATATAGCACCAGTTAGATTGGTACACGGAATTGATCAAAAGATAAGCACCTCTCGGCTAGATAACCCATTGAACTTGTCGCAGACTCCATCGCCAGACAGAGATACAACCAAACTCTGCAGGAAGCTGGATTTTGCCTGAGCTGTATGGCCCACAGAATGAAAAAAATTCTCGTCTACTAGACCTCTGTCTGTTGTTTGATTAAGGCGTAAGGTCTGTGCAAGTATATGATTGCCCTTACTAAGTCATGCGCTTTTTGTTTTTCATTTCTCTCCAGAAATTAGATGTCTGTCGCTTCCTATTCCGACAAATGGAGTTAAAACCGGCTGTACAAACATTACATCGGAACCTTATGATACACATTGTAGTTTTTCATGTAATGTTGGCTACAATATGGTTGGTTCGTCAGTAAGGCGTTGCCTGGAAAATGGGACTTGGAGTGGAGAAACATCTTATTGCCAAGGTAATAGATACAAGACATCTATACCAGACGTGTAACAAAATTAGGTGTAAGGAAAGCGGTAATCTTATCTAATCGATCCGAAATATATAGCAAAGCTCCAAATAACCAATGGTAAATGACTGACAAAAAAGCAGGGGAAACTCCAGTGAAAGTGGGTTTGACATCGAAAATGGGGCAACTTCTAAACTATCGAGTTCGACTAAGCGGGGTCCAGCGGTATAAAGTTAGTTATACCATGCCATAGAAAATACAGTCAATCAGAATTCCTGACGGTATTACACCCAACTTTCCCATTGAACGCTGCTCGTATATCAGATTGATTGCGTCGGCCACTTATTTTCTAAGGTATGGAATAAAATATGAGTGCCTGCGTATACTAATAAAATACAAGAGACATTTGGGACATTTCATATTATACCACGAGATGTTGCATCGCTGGTATATATTTATCTAAACTTTTGATCTATTTAGTTATCACCTGTGACCCACTCGTCCCTCCAACTGATGATGTTGTACATGTATCTCCATCCTCGTGTCTATCGAGCAGTCCGTATGGCCAGACATGCACATTCACTTGTCAAAGGCCTGGATATGTCCTTGAAGGAACATCTGCACGAGTATGTGGTAATAAAGGGCAGTGGACTGGGTCGAACAATACAAACTGTACAGGTAAGGTAGTGCGGCTTAACTTAATATAGGAATGGTTTCTTACACTTCCTTTTGAAAATTGACTATCCAAGCTCTATTTCTTAATGATTGCAACAGACAAGAAACAATTTTACAGCCATGTACTACCAAGTAACCGTTAAGTGGCTTCGCCAACGTTAACGGTCACGGATGTTCTTCAAGATCCATCTGCAGCACTGCTCCTTGAATTTAGTCTCTTGAAGTTGAACTATTTTCGTCGTTTACAGATAACACTCCACCTTCCTTCAATAACACATGTCCTAGCAATATGGTGTTCTATGCTACGGAATGTTCATCCAGGGCTTTACTTACATGGATTGAACCAATTGCGAATGACAACTCTGGTCACGTGTCTATCAGCTACCCGGGCGTTCGTCCCCCTGTCAACCTCAGTATCGGTCTGTACAATGTACTGTATTCCGCAATAGACAACAGTGGAAACCGAGCTAACTGTACTTTTATCGTACAAGTAGCAAGTAAGTCACTAAATGTAATTGTCAAAATTAGTACAAGAATTATCATAAATGTTAACAATAACTATCATTATGACTAATAATTTTCATAATAATCATAATTTATGTCGCAAATTATTATAATTAATGATTTTTACTTTGTTTTTTTGGGCTAGAGCAAAGTTAAAAGTTTGAACACAGTTAGTAATCTCGTTAAAAAAAGTTTTTCGTTCCGGTTAATTTTGGTGCGTGCTTCATTTTTTCACCAATCTGAGCCGCGTTTCCCAGAGGAACTAGAGCACAGCACTCAAAGACTACGGGACTAACGATATAGACAAAACCATGCAATTTAAGCGTTTATTCTTAAACTAAAATGTTTTTATTACTTAAGCAGTTAATTAAAGGAAAATATGTTTGATCCACAGGAAAATCATGCCCAGTCCTCCAGCCACCAGTCTATGGATCCATAACCTCTCTTTCATGCGGATCTTCATTTGGTTCCCAAGCCTCCCTTGCTTGTAACACAGGATACCGAATGGCTGGATCTCCTTTGCGCTCATGTGGAGCAGACGGAACATGGTCAGGCAACGTGACCACATGCAACAGTACGTAACCTACGCACAACAATTGGTTTAACAAGTCGTATTTTTGAATGTCAATCGTAAAATTCGTGAATCATTTTTTTTTTTTTTTTTTTTTTTATGACTGTAACCTCTCTTGCTGTAACTAACTGGTATGGTTTTACTTGAAGTGGATGGTTGTACAAATTACACAGTCCTGAGTGAAGCAGACCGCGCTCAAGGNCAACGTGACAACATGCAACAGTAAGTAACCTATGCCCAATAATTGTTTTAACAAGTCGTATTTTTCAATGTGAACCGTTAATATCATGAGTCAGTTTAGTTTGGAAATGGTTGCACAGCTTAATAAACCTGTAATGGGATTATTATTATTAATTATTTTGTTATGAAATGAAGATTTTTGCTTGCTATACGAATTATTGATATCCCCATTCTTCTCCCGATAAAAATGGCTCAGCGTCGTCCCATCCAATGGGCGTTGAAATGCTCCTGGTTGTAAAATGATTTTGAGACAGGAGCTCCGGCTGCATGGGACTTTCCTTCTTAACTATTTTCTTTCCCTTTCCAATCAGTCGTTAAGTGCCCAAGCATTGCAACACCATCTCATGGAATGGTTTATCCAAGTACTTGCCAGATACCTTCAGGTGTAAATTATAAAACCGAGTGCTTCTTCATATGCAATGTTACGGTCGGTTATCAACTCGAGGGCGCACCAAAAGTATCCTGCCTTGAAAGTGGAACATGGAGCGAGGATACCAACAAGACAATCTGCAGAGGTAAGAACGAATATGATGTACTTAGAAATTTTATTCAGTTTACGATGGCGCACGCGAAAGTAAATCGTCGTCAATATAACTGATAGTGCACTGGTGGTTTGTCATTTATTTCCCTCTCATTTTTTTTTTTTTTAATGATTATTTAACATTTCTAAATGAGTGATCAATGGAGTCATTTAGAGATGGTCAGTTTACAGCTTCCTTTGAAACTAAGTTTATCAATTGGTTTACTGAACCAAACAATTCCCAGATAAACCCATTCAGTAAAGAAAAACTAAAATACAGTTTTAACAATTAAAGAAATTCAATTATACGATACTAGATTTATAAAAATACATTTACAGCTGCAAAATGCGTGACAAACCAATTATCTTCAGGGACTTCGTCAACAGAATACTAATTAAATATGAAATAGAAAAGATTGGTTTATAAAAGATACAAAAATTTTCTCTCCAGCAAACTTATGTTCTTCTTTACCCTCACCAACAAAAAAGGCGCATTAATAACATTGTTAAAGTTAAAAATTGTTAATTACACCTGTAATTGGCCATGATTAAATAGGACGATGTATAACTAATAATAATAATAATAATAATAATTCAACATTTAGTTCAGGCAAATTGCTTTCTCGACAGATATCCAAGCTCCTAGCATCACATGTCCACCTGATATGGACAATATTCCAACAGAGCCTGGCCAATCATATGCAAATGTAAAGTGGCAGTTACCAGTCCACACCGACAACTCTAACGAGTCCCTGACGCTCCATGGTTTACGGCCTCCGCAAAAGCTAGTTGTTGGTAAAAAGCACATTACATACAAAGCCACCGACTCGTCTGGTCTGAGTAGAAGCTGTATATTTCTTATTCATGTCAAAGGTACACACTGCAATCATCTTAAAGGAATCAGTTACGTATGCTTAGTTGTTTACCAAATTACCTCGTCAATATGGAGTTATTCTCGTCGAATCACGTCGGATAATGAGTTTGGATTCAGTGCTTGTCTTTTAAGCATCTCCTGTGATTATATTATGGGAAGCTTCTCTTTTAGTGAGGTTGAATGTTCACTTTGTCACGAGCGTGAGACAAGGAGAAATTCTGAGTTCCAGACAAAATTCAAACCCATGTTTGACCTCTTACATTTAGTGAAACTCTTGACTACCAAGTCCATTTATCCTGTTCAGATCACACCGTGACACGCGACCTGGAACCGCTTGTGTCAGCAATACTGAGAGAATCATGAATATAACAAATAATCAAAGATGGTAAATTTGAATTAAATTATTAAATGATCCAGATAAAATGTCCATTATGTAACAAGCGTAGGAAAAAGAAGAAACGTGTTTGTTTGTTTGTTTTGTTTTGTTTTTGTTTTTTGTTTTGTTTTGTTTTGTTTTGTTTTTTTTTTTTCATTTAACATAAAACAGATCTTGAGCCGCCGAAGATTGCAAACTGTCCTGATGGCATTTACAAGACGACTGAAGAAAAATGGACGAAGATCTTTTTTCCTGGAGTCATTGCCACAGATAATGTTGGCGTTCACTTATATACAACAAGCAGAGAAAATGGAAGCAAGTTCACATGGGGAGAGCATAACGTGACTTACACTGCATCAGACATAGCAGGAAATACTGCCACTTGTCATTTCCAAGTAATCATTGTGGGTATGTAAAGCCATTTTTGAGGGTGTCCAAAAGTATTTTGGGATTTGAAGGCATAACAAGACAATTTTGAAGTCCGAAAACTTCAAGGAACTGTTCACATAAATTGTAATATTTCTCGGGAAGATCCACACTGCATGAATCAAGTCATACATTTTCGACGAAAACGAAAGTATTTCGAACAACTCCCAAAGTTACAAGTAGAGAAAAAAAACAGTAACAAATGTAAATAGTTTACGCATCAAATCAACTGTCATTAGAGTTTGCTTACTGTCTTCAAGTTGTTATCCTGGACAATTAACACAGTTGCTTGCATTTCCCTATTTTTGCCTAACTGATACGTCACAATTCAGTCGTGTTGAATGTAATTCCAGTGTCTCCAGACGCACTAGAATGGTCTTAAGCCGTAGTGTCCACCTAAACAGGAGAAAGAACACGACACTTTGTACCATATGATTTATTGCAACACGGTCAAATTACTAAATACCTAGAAGATTTATGTCACTGTTATGCGGGTTTATACAAATCCCTATTGAGTAATAGCCCTATTTACGGTTAGTGTTTTCTCATTTGTATTGCAATGTAATCCAGCGTGGATATAAGGCAATTTAGCGCTGAAACAACAAAATAGCCCTAAATTGTCTCACATACATACTAGATTATATTGTAATGCAAATTAGAAAAGTTGACTGTGAAAAGGGCTATTGTAAAGTGTAAATTTGTTCTAGCAAGGAAAGGTAAAGACTGCATACGAGCCAAGTGGTCCATCCAAGCCCTATGATTAATCGATGTTATCACNTTTGGGATTTGAAGGCATAACAAGACAATTTTGAAGTCCGAAAACTTCAAGGAACTGTTCACATAAATTGCAATATTTCTCGGCAGGTTCAACACTGCATGAATCAAGACATACATTTTCGACGAAAACGAAAGTATTTCGAACATCTCCCAAAGTTATAAGTAGAGAAAAAAAAACAGTAACAAATATGAATAGTTTACGCATCAAAACAACTGTCATTAGAGTTTGCTTATTGTCTTCAAGTTGTTATCCAGGACAATTAAGACAGTTGCTTGCATTTCCCTATTTTTGCCTAACTCATAGTGCCTCCAGACGCACTAGAATGGTCTTGAGCCGTAGTGTCCACCTAAACAGGGGAAAGAACACGACACTTTGTACCATATGGTTTATTGCAACACGGTCAAATTACTAAATACCTAGAAGATTTATGTCACTGTTATGTGGGTTTATACAAATCCCTATTGAGTAATAGCCCTATTTACGGTTAGTGTTTTCTCATTTGCATTACAATGTAATCCAGCGTGGATATAAGGCAATTTAGGGCTGAAACAACAAAATAGCCCTAAATTGTCTCACATACATACTAGCTATACTGTAATGCAAATGAGAAAAGTTGACTGTGAAAAGGGCTATTGTAAAGTGTAAATTTGTTCTAGCAAGGAAAGGTAAAGACTGCTTACGAGCCAAGTGGCCCATCCAAGCCCTATGATTAATCGATGTTATCACTAAGGATTCAACTTCTTTTTTCTCTTTGAAAAGCGAAACCATGTGACGATTTACGAACACCGCAGAATGGAGCCAAGACGTGTGACAAGTGGCTAGACGCCGGGAAGTTTTGCACCCTGCAATGCAATGTGGGATATGATTTTGCTCTCAAACCACCTGAGTTCTATTTCTGTGGTGCTTCAGGGAACTGGAATCCTGGAGACAAAGTGCCAGACTGCTCTAGTAAGACTATGTATCGAAACTTCATGGCTTGCTGGGGAAAAATATCGCACAGTATTTGTAGAAATCTGATCTACGAAACAAAGAAGGTCATTTTTTTCAGGCCACAATGCAAGAGAAACTGCCTGCGCCATCCGAGGGCCCATTAAAGGGTCAAGTTTGTTTGAATTCAACCAATGTATTATTCTGATAGAAAGTTCATAGAAGTAATTTTTTCCTAAAAATAAAAATTAGGTGGTAAAAAGGCTATTGATGACATGAAAGTTTGAATTGAACTTTAAATTCATTCGAGTTATTGGGACCAGGTGGGGAAGAGAACTGGAAAAAAAAGCCTTAAATCTAACGATGAGTTTTCACTAATGAACCTTTGAAATCTTAAGTGCGACTGAAAAATTAATTTTTCCGGTTACCTCATTCAAAACTCTGACATGGAATATTTCATAACCAACAAAACTATGTTACAAGCCTATGGGGCGCCGTTTGTAAATTTATTATTTAGACCGAATTTATGCCATTTTCCCCT